GCTGCTATCTACGACCCTGTTTGTTCTCCAATGATTATCGTCGACCTTGTTTGTTATCCAAGTTGTATATGAAATATGAAATTGTCCATCCTGTTCGACATCTGTACAATAGTGGTTTGTGTTTTATGGTATGTTTTTAAAAAATTTTTTTAAAAAAACAGTTTATCTACTCGCGTATTTTTGTACAAATTTTCTTATGTTTTATTTTTTATGTCTAGTTGGCTGAAGAGGGGCCAATGCCCGAAACGCGTAATGTAAAAGGCGTCCGAACTGAATAAATAGTCAATAAGTTGCCAAGTGTTGATATATGTCACCTTAGTGTGTCTGCAAAGAAACAGCTTAATAACAACAACACGGTTTCATCAGAATCAAAAAAATATATTTCCTATTATTATCCATAGTAACAGTCAAGGTGCAGTAGACATGATTAAAAACAACAAATATGATATTAATTAATTAAAATATCCTATAAAATTTGTCCTCTGACCAGCTATTATTGACATCTCATCATATAGGATTCCGTTGGATGTCAGGACACAAAGAAATAATAAACAACAAAAGATCAGATCTTGCTAAAAGTGCCATTCGTTTTAATTTGAAATGTATTTACTTTAAAATTTCTTACAAAAAAATCAAAAACAGCTGTACTTAATATATACTCATGAATTGGAAAAACATTGGAAACAGGAAAATACTGGGTGTCTTACAAGCATATCTAATGTCTTAAAACAGCATAGACTGAAATATTTTGTTGCAGATTTCATTAGCCTAATTCTCTGCAGCCATGGCAATTTTAAGGAATCTCTATGTAGATTTAGATTGAAAGACAATAACATCTGCTATCTACTAACTACTTTATTTTTGAAGTTTATACAGTAACCAAAGAAATATTCTCATACAAAACACCATAAGAACATTTTCATTGGCCTGCTACTACTAAAGATTTAATTTCAGCAAAGAAGGCATTTAATGCTTTAAAAATATTTGTTAACACCATACAAGTTCTAAAACCACAATTTCATCTTGATTGACATATTGTTATTAGCTACTTTACAAAGTTTTAGCTTATATTGTTCAACTCTCTACTGTCCCATTTTATCATTATAATGGAGCTGTTGCTTTTTGTATTTATTATCATTACAGTATGTATTATTTTTCTGGTTCATAACTTATTAAATATTGTATCTTATTTCATATTTTGTTTTTGTTTCCACAAATGTTAAATGTTCTATATAAGCTTTTATTTGTTACATGATGCCAGTAACTTTGTTTTCTATCTTTCATATATTTATAAATAGTATGAAAGAATTGTATCATATTTCATATTTATTTTTGTATTTTCAACTACTATGTATTTATTTCTATAAGTTCCTAAGTTAATTTTTCTTCAATTATTGCATTTTAATTTTAATTTGGAAATGTAAGTTATAGATTTCTTTGTTACTATTTCTGAAAATATGAAGTCAACAGACTTATTTCATTGTAAATACTAGTTCTTATCATCCCTTGTAAACATTTTTTTCATGACTCATCCCATCTGTCCAATATCCTGATGAAACCTTTAGGAATATAGTTTACTTAAAGATCTAGACTGGAGAAGGAAATGAGAAAGAGTAGATTTATACTCATTTCCTTCTCCAGCCTAGATCTTTAAGTAAACTATATTCCCTAACAACAATAATTTTCTTCTTTTTCTTCATCTTTGCCTTTTTCCATGTTTATATGGAGTTGGCATTTTATTCTCTAATACGTTTCCTCCATTTCTTCCTATCAAGGGCATCTTCTCTCTTAAGTCTTCAAGTCTTCCTTTGCTTTATCTTTTAAATGCAGCCTTGATATTCCTCTCTTTCAACCCTCTTTCCAACATAACCTTCACTACTTTGCTCTACATGCCAAACCACCACAACCTGCATTCTTGTATCTTCCTACTCAAGGGACCCACCTTAACAGAACTTCTACTAAACTCATTCCTTATTCTATCCTTCCTTGACACTCCATTTCAACATTCTCATCTCTGCCAACTCCATCTTTCTTTCTTGGGCACCAAACTACCACAACCTGCATTCTTGTATCTTCCTACTCAAGGGACCCACCTTAACAGAACTTCTACTAAACTCATTCCTTATTCTATCCTTCCTTGACACTCCATCTCAACATTCTCATCTCTGCCAACTCCATCTTTCTTTCTTGGGCTCTTGTGATTGCCCATGTCTCAGTCCCATACAACATTGCAGGTCTAACAATCCAATTTATGCAATTTACCTTTCAGTTTGCAGCTAACTTTCTTGTCACATAACACACTGCTCAACTTTCTCCAGTTTAACCATCCACATTGAATTCTACATTGCAATTCCAAGTTCAATCATCCCCCATCTTGACAAAGACCTCAAGATACTTAAAACTCGAACACATAGGAAGCAGCACATTTTGGATTTTAATATTACACTTGTCCCTGCCATTCAGAATCATATAAGCTGTTTTAGTTCTGCTAATCCTCATGCCCCTTTCTTCCAAAATTTTCTTCCACTTTTCCAGTTTCTTCTCAGCCTCGGTTTGGGAAGGTTCACACGGCACAATATTATCCACAAACAGCATACTCCATGGAGCACCACACTTTGTCACAAACCAACACATCCATTATCAGGTCAAAAAGATAAGGGCTAAGGGTTGATGTAAACCATCATTCACAAAGAACCCTTCTGTAGTGCCCACGTTACTCTTAACTTGAGTCTCCGCTCTCTCGTACATTTTCTTGATCCTTATTTTTCTGGAACATTCTTTTCCCTCAAATATCTCCATATCTCTTGCCTTGATGCCCTATCAGCCCTATCATATGCCTTTTCCAGATCTATGAACATCATGTGCAAATCTTCCTGCATTTTCCTGTGCCTTTCCATCAGCTGTTTCAAAGCAAAGATAGCATCAGTCATACCCCTTCCTAGCATATAGCCAAATTGTTCTTTTCCAATCTCATATTCCTGTCTAATCCTTCTTTCGATAATTTTCTCCCAAATCTTCATAGTATGGAACAATAACTTTATACCTCCATTCATCTGGGATCTTCTCCTAATGTCAGTTTCTTCATAAGGTCCAGACGATATCAATCCTTATCCAAACCTCGCCAAGCCTCAACTGCAAACCAATCAGAGCCTACTGCTTTCCCCATCTTCATTTCCCTAAGCACCCTTTCCACTTCTTCTCTGCTAATATCTTGCACCACTTCATTTGTCTCTCCATCCTCATATAAAGTTTGGGGTTTTCTTTATCTTCAGACCTTCCCATCAAATCTCACCTTTTCTTTGGCTTTTTCTTTTGTTTAACTGTGGATTGTACTACAGCATTCCACCACCAAAGTTCCTTTCCTTCTGGTAACCTCTTCCCTGAAGTTTTTCACAAAACCTCTTTTCCAACTTTCAAAATGCACTTACTATTCAGCATCCACCATGTTTGCACATCATCTAGGAATTGAATTTCTTATAACACTTTTACCTTAAATAAACTCTTTCCTCAATTCTTCCTCTTTCAATCTCCACCATTTAATCCTTTGTTCAATCTGGCTAACATAATTCATACAATGGCCCACAAGAAAGTCACAATCCACCAGAAGAACTCTACATTGTGCAGCAACACTTTCTCCATTTAACACCTTACTGTTTCTCACTTCACTCAGATACCTCCTGCGACACAAGAAAAAATCAATCTGGCGGGATCTACCTACACTCATGTATGTAACCAGCTGATTCACTTTCTTCTCAAAGTAGGTGTTAACTAGCACAAGGTCAAAAGCCACAGCATGATCGACTAGTCTTTCTCCCTCTTCATTCCTTTCTCCTAAACTCCACCTCCCAAGAACTCTTCTTTCTGCATTCTTCCTCTTTCCACATGATCATTTAAATCATCCCCACAGATTAACCTCTTGTTCACAGAAACACATTATGACTTGGTCAAGATCTGCCCAAAAGTTTGTCTTCTCTTCTTCTCCACTTCCTGGCTGAGGATCATACAAACACAATCGTAATGAAAATTCCACCAATGTCCAACTTAATGCTCATAATTCTATTACACCTTTGTTTAACCTCACAGACTCTGTCTTTTAGAATTTTATCAACTATGATACCAACTCCATTCCTTCCTCCCTCATTCACTTCACTCACAAATAGTTTTTACTCTTCCCCAAGTTTTTTAGCTTTATTTCCTTTCCATCTCGTCTCTTGCAGGCACAGAATGTTCCCTCTCCTTTACATAAGATCAACCAACTCTCTACTCTTCCCATTCAATGTTCTGATGTTTAAAGTACCTATTCTTATACTTTTCTTCTTCTTCTTCTTCCTCTCTTTCTTCTCTTTCTGAACTAACTTCTTTAGCTGAACCCATCCTTGGTTCAGTAGTCCAAGCTCATTTGACACAGTTTTCGGGTGACATGACTGCACATCACTTGTGGGGGACATCCTAACAAAATTGTAGCTTACTTGTAGCCTAGCCTAGCAGACATTCCATGTAGTTTTGGCATAGATTTTACGGTTGGGTGCTCTTCCTGACACCAAACCTCCTCCTCCTCTTCCAATAACAATGATGATAATAATAATAAATAATTATTGTGTTATACTGTAGTGAGTTTTTTTTTTTATTAAGATTGCAAACAGCCTTTTTCTTACTTTGTTCCATTTTGCACCTTGTTTTCTTCTCATCAATTCCTGGTGGCCCAAAAACTTGCAAAGAAAAATCTCCCTACATATAAATTTATCACAGAGGATTAAATTTAAAATAAAATTGCAAACAACAAATTGATTGTTTTTGTTTGAGGAAATGTTAGGCAGCAAATCCTATGTTTAATAAATGAATAAATAATAAATGAAAATGGTTACATCTTGACTTATTAAAAAATATTTAAATCAGGTAATATTTCTAAAAATTTTAACTGAATTCTATTTATTTCTAAGTTAAAAATCATATGCTAAACAAATTGAATTCAACTGTTTCTTTTTGAAATATTCACATAGGCACTTACAGAAGCTTTTAGGGTTCTTAAAAAGGGAGGAAGATTTTTGTGTCTTGAATTTAGCCAAGTACAAAATCCTCTGGTTAGTTGGTATGTTTGGTTTATAACAACAAACCTTTCATGACTTTCAAGAATCACTTTAATAGTTATAAACTTAAATTTTAACTTTTTTTTGCAATGAGCATATTTTATGTTTTTAGGTTATATGATAAATATTCATTTCAAGTTATACCTGTAATGGGGCAAGTTATTGCACGTGATTGGAGATCGTATCAATATCTGGTGGAAAGCATTCGTCAATTTCCATCCCAAGTAAGAAAATTATATAATTTATCAATTCATTATTTATAATGATAGAATAATATAATTTCAATATATTATTTTATTATTAAAAGAATAAATATACAAAAGATTCATTTTGTCTTAAATAAAAGTTTATTTTATTATGAAAATTTTTAATTTATAATATTAGTTGTCTTTTCATTTTTACGTAAACAAACGTTTGACTTTATAGTCATTCTGTATTTTTCAGATTTTAGTTAAATAACTGTATTTCAAGAAAGCTACCTTCCATATTTTCTATAATATCTTCATATTTTATTTTTTTTTTTTACAGTTAGCTTATTTTTATTAGCATTTAATTTCGCATAAGTGCAAAATTATACTTTTATTTAGATTTAAAAAACTTTATTTGTTTTTAAATTTTTAATTAAAATTTTAAAAAGGCATTATAATAGCCATTAAAATAACTATTATATTTTTCATAAATATTTTGAAAATTTAATTGATTTTACTGAAACGATCCTTATTGTTCATTGAATAGGTGAATTGACACATGTTCAATTTACTGGTCAATTTATTAGGATATCAAGATTTCATTTCATTCAGTTAATAATAATTAAGTAAATAAAATATAATCTTATGATTACTTTCTTTTTACTTAAACACTATTAAATAGTATTTTAAATTTAATATTTTTGCTATATTAATATGAAGAGCTGAATTTAATACTAAAGTCTCTTCAACCAAGAAGAACTTTTCACTTTTCACGAGTGCTTAATCAGTTTCATTACCTGTTAAGACACATGATGCAATAATTATCATCTTTACAGGCTAGAAACTCATTGCTTTTTCGTTGCTATGAAGAGACTTTTGATGACTAAAGAAACTATATACATTTAAAATGATAGCACTTTATCATAGCAAAACATTGTACAGTCAAAGTTGACAGTACAATGTATTGCTTTGCTTATAAGTGAAATTACTTTCTGCTGTTTTGTTTTACCATTTTAATTTATTTGCTTAATTTTTTAATTAAATGTTTTTATTTAACTTCCTAATAGTATACCTAAGTTTGATGACAATGCACTTTAATGATGTTTTAGGGGTGATTCTACTCCAAAACTTAATAAACATAACCAAATGTAGAATTTAATTATGTGTTTGTGTAAATGTACTGTAACAATGTATATGGTAGGGGTGTCTTCAGCTCTAATCTCAAAAAACAAGATCAATAAAAGCAATTTTTTGTTTTGTAATTTTTGAAAATTTGTTAAAATGATTAAGGTTGATTCCCACCTTTTTGGAATTATGGCACGTTTAAACAACTATGTGAAGGCTATGGCTTATTTTATTATTAAATATTGTAGGACAGGACAATAGGTCAATGTGGTGTGCTCTCTAATACCTTCTGTACAATAGTTGGCTGGTACAAACTTCTGAAATATAGCTAATGATGAATAGAAATACATGTTGTTAATTTATTTACAAATTTTAAAATTTGTCATTTTAATTTTCTAATTGATCCTATAGCACATTTAAAATAGTTTTACAGCACAGGAACATGTCATGGCGCATTGGTTGGAAAACCAAAGTTTTAAATTTTATATTGTAGAAATTTGTTTAATTAATATAAATGTAACATTCTTATAAAATTTATAGTATTATAAATTAGCTTTCAAATTCAAAGACAATAATAAAATAAATCTTTGCATAACAGTTTCTAAACAATAATTGGATGAACAAAACAGTATTTCATCATCCTATTGGATTGCATGATACTTATCATGTAAGGAAGTTCATCCCTCATTAAACAAGTTATAATTTTAAAAACTTCTTTGATAAGTTGTCAGTTAACTTAAAGCAATAATCAAGCTGATAAACTAAAATATACTACTTTTATTATCTTTTATGCACAGTAATTGAAATTACTTTTTGAACTCATGCTTCATAGTGCTTCTAATCATATACGGTGGTGCCTCATATGTGTACTTAATCCGTTCCAGGTGCATGTCTGTTAAGTGAAAAGTCCATTATACGAAATGCATTTTACCATAGAAATACATGTTAAAACATATAATTTGTTCTGCAGCATAAAATAACCATACTGTTCCATTAAAAAAAATGAAAATGGAGCAGTCACCAATTATGCTGGGTAGTCAGCTGTTATGAGGAGGAGGTGGAGGAACACTTTCTTTACACATTCATACAGATACAGACTTTTTACACATTGCAGCAGGTCTCTTTTTATTGTTTTTTAATCGGAGTCAGAATAAGGAGAGGCTACCGGAGCTTGCAGGGTCATCTCCTCTTGTTCCATCCTTTGTTTTTTGGCAGCTTGCTTCTTGAAAAACATGTTCCAAGATAGTCTGTCTCTCTCTCTTCTTCAACACCTGTCAGAAATTACGGCCAAGGGTGTCATTGATCCTTTTGTCCTCAGTTCATTTGGAAAATGAGTGTAGGTAAACTTCTGAACCTCTCCCCATTTGATAAGGAAGTTTTTGTCAACTTTACTCCTTCTGATGATGTCTTGCTTTGTTTCAATTGAAATCACCTTTCTGTTTTTTTAGAAGCCATGATTTGCACAACACTTGAATAAATGTAAATACCCTGCACTGAGGTGATGTACGTAATAATCAAGGAAGCAAGATGAATCCCAACGGGAGCTCTGTACTTTAGGTATACTAATAATATATTTTGATAATACTAATATATTGTGAAAATAGCAGATTGTCATTGGCACCGGCAAAAGAATGGAAACATCATTCGCACTTGTTTGCAGAAAGTCCGTTGCTCGAGTCACGTAATGGCCAAACAGAAAGTCCGTTGTTCGCAGCGTCCGTTATTCGAGGCATATGTTATACGAGGCACCACTGTATAAGCAAATCATTGTCAACAATTACACAAATTTGTATAAATGATAGTATTGAATATATAATATATAACTGAAATTCTTTCTATATTCTAAAATGTTTGAAATGTGTATATGTTACTGTGAAAGACCGAAATCAGAGAATGTCGATATTCTCCAGTGAATGTTGACACATACAAAATATGTTGGTGAAAGATCGAATATTTTGTTATATTATTATACATTCGAACAATCGCCGGTATATGTCGACAAGCACAGATAAGCTTTGGTGGAGGTCGAAACAACACCCGAGAAGCCGATGTCGATGGAGAGGCGACAGTCTGTCGCCAAATTCTTCGCCATTTCCTTTTGCTCAAATTGGTGATACCGTACGAATACAAGTCCCTGATGTTAACCGTGGCCGTACAGATGCCCGAAATGTGTTGGCAGTTGTTGTTAGAATAGAAGACTCTGACTTTTATAAATTAGCAAACAAAAATGATACCCTCAAGCAGCTTTATACCCGTAATCAGTTCGTAATTTGTAAAGAAAATTTCCATAGGTAAGATTTCTTCTCAAGAAATATCGCTGAGAGAAGCAGCTGCAGCTAATTCGAAAAGTGGAAGGCAAGGCTATACATGCTGTCATTGCAAAAAAAGTGTTCCACGAATAAATGCAGTTGTAAAAGGAAGGGACTCTTGTGCAATTCAAAATGCCATAACAGTTTAAGTTGTTGCAATAAATAAGATTGTATAATGTTAATCACATAATTTATGTGTAAGTTTATTATTGTATTATTTTCTTTAATGATATAGAATGTACTGTTCGTTTTAGGTTCAACAGTTTATTTACATGTACTATTACTTAAGCTTTCTCCTATTTTGACATATTAAAAAGTTGCATTTTTGTCTTAACGTAATAAAAATATTTTTATTCAACATTCACCATCAGCGCATTCTGAATGTCAACATTTGCCGGTGTAAGTGAGAAATAACGATATTTAGCAAATATTTCGGACATACACAAAACAACTGTGTGAATGTTGACATTCGCCAGATTTCGGTCATTCACAGTAACATATACATACACAAGCACACACACTTAATTAAAAATTTAGAACGTTTTCATTTAATGTCAAAATGTTCTGAATTTAAAATTTAAATTCTATAGTTGTGAGAATTTTAAAAATCATTTTCTTATTTCCACATGTTTCAATGAAAAATTAAACTTTAAAAGTCATATATAATTCTTTGTTTATGTGCTCAATAGTGGCTAAGGGGATGAAACCACTAAATATTGGTACAACAAATATCTGTCTAAACAGAAAAACTTCAGAACAGTGCAATTTTTAATGTTAAAAAATTTTGTTCAAAAAAAAAAATACCCACTGAAACTGGAAAAAATATTCCATACCTTGCAATTCTGATTTAATAGGTTTTACTGTAGTTGGTTGTGGTGGGTTCATGCTTGACAAATGGGCTGTCTATGTGGAATTTTATGGGTTTTCTTCACATTTCTAACATCTACATAGGGGTCAGTTTCCCTAGAAACTCCTCTTGAAAAGTATTAACTTGGCAAATTGCCAATGTGTTGCATTGCCTTATCCAATTGTTTTGTTAATTGTTAGATATATAACAGTTACTGATATTTTATTATTGTCATCACTCTACTGATGTTTTCTCTTCAAAATAATCATACACATTTAAAATAAGAAATCTGATTGCCTGTTTAATGTTTTTCTCTTTCTTGCATGTAATATTACTACCCACCAACACAATCAAACTAATGATGATATTATTTCTGTTTTCTTTATTTCATTTAATAAAGTAAAATATCAAATAAACATAAAGGCACACATTGCCCTGCAAAAATTACTGGCATTTTAAACTTTAAGGAAAAATCTTGTAAAATCAACAATTTGTTCATGTAAAACTGGACAATTGGGGAATTTTTTTTTGCCAATTCTTAACAGTCAAATCTTCGCATGTAAATAAAATTATTTTTAGTAAAATATTATTGAAATCCATAATTGTGCTTTACGGATAAAATTTGTATTAAAATAAATATAATATTAATTATGTTTTTTCTATTTATTTCATTAATACGAGTAACTATTCGTATTAGTAATTTTATGTAAACTGGATTTATTAACAATTATTCGGGATAAAAACAGTCCAGCTTTTTCCCGGCATTATTTATTTATTTCCATTACACGCGCTCAATCTTGTCAGGGAGCATGGTTATTGTCACTTTGATTTTACTGTATCTCCAAACGAAGTCGTGAACCGCATTTCTTGTTACATTTTTAGATTCCTCGTCACAATTAATGAAAAATGGCAAATTTTTATCAAAATCGGCCTATCAAACTATGAGAACGAATATAGTTCTATAAACCACATAGAAGAGTCAAGCTAACGAATAACATTTGATACAAAATTTTATAAAAAATTTACGTAAGACTTGTAATTTATAAAAATTATTATCGCATCGAACAGAATTAAATTTGACACAAATTATTTTCTAAGAAATGCAGTTATCTGCGAATTCGAAGAAAATCGATCGGCACTTTATGCTATTTGACCAGTGTTTAGCGAAACGAATAGCAACGGGATATACTACTATACTGTACAGTACGGTGGATATTTTATCACAGAAATTCGAAAATAAAAAGCAAAACGATCGATTAGTTTCTTTGATGGACCCCAAATCGATTGATCGCTATATGTTCTCGTTCGAAAATTTCTGTTGCCATAATTGAAGTTCCGCTAAAATTACATAAAATAATGTTACATCGGATTAATCTTGATTCTAGGTTAAACAGAAAAATGAACGCGATTCACACTAGCAATCAAACGAGAAAGAAGTTTCAACTTCGAAATTCATATATCACTGACATCTTGAATAGGCTACTGACCTAAATTATAATATATGCGGACTTTTCATAAACCAATAACGTAAAAACGGGGCTATTTGCTTTTATCTCCAAGAGAATGGGATATATCGGAAAGTATTTCATCTCTAATGTATGTAGATTTGGAAGATCATTGCCAATGCCGACACTTTGATCCAAGAAAGAAATCTATCATGTTACATGGCGTTCTTTAGGTGGATAAAATAGTGTATTAATAGTCTAGTTCAATAAAACATGAATATTGTCGTCCGTTAGAGTAACGAAATAGTCTAAAACGCTAACACTGGTAAAATTGCACGTTGCAAGACGAGTCAAAATGTTCTGTTTGAATTTCAGGTTCATCTAATTTTCATGGTAAAACTCGTTTGTAGTGAATTGTTATAAATTGCTGCTCCTGAATGATGTCCAATTAATTAGAAATACTAACTACTTCACGAAGAAAACTCAATACTTTCTGAAGTACGTAGATCTTTCACTGATTGTAGCGCACTTCGAAAAAAAATCAATAGCATCTACATTAAAAGATAATATCTTTTTTAGACCATGCTTTTGTGCCTGTTTTCTTATCCCATGTGGAGCTTGAGTTGCAATCTACAAGGGAACGTAAAATCACAAGAAATGATTTTTTACGTGTTGTTCTTTAGTTTGTGATAAACTTTGAAGCTAGAATGTCGTTCGTAGGCATTAAAACAAACTTAAATACTCAAATATGATACCTTAAATACAAAATAAAAAGCCATTTCAAAATTTAAATAAAAAATATATAAAAACGTGATTCCGTATGATTTTAATAGCAGAATATCACGAATAAATGTGAGAGATGTGGAATAATAAACTTTTTTATATAAAATGAAAATACTCTACTCATATATTTAAATATTTTGATGGTAAAAAAGTTTTTTATAAGTAAACACTTACGTATGCAAATCAGTGCGATCATAAAGGAGTTCGCCAAAGGGATGGCCATGTGGGGTTTTCCTGGAGTTCACGTTTATAACATACAAATAGGAACCAGTTTCCCATAGAAAGTCTCGGGAGGCATCCCTCGACAAATAGCACTGAGAATCGTGTTGCCGTATACAAACAACAAAACAGTTAATTATTAATTCTTGTTTTACAACAATTCCTTGATTTAATTTGGCATTATTGTCCAGTTACAGAAAAGGTTCTTTTCTAAAAATAAAAATTTGCCAACAGGAAAAGTAATTAGGAGGGAACAATGGCCCCAAGCTCTTCTGTCGGTATAGATCCAACTTAAATATGTAAGACGCCTTCTCTCACTACCCGACTGCTCCCATAATGTAACTAATCGAATCCATTATGAGCATGGAAAAAAAGGAAATGCCCACATGACAGTAAAGTCGAAAATGACAAAAAATATTCGGGTGCACAGGTAAAATGGCAAAGAAGAAATCGCACAAGATCACCAATTTGTTATTCAACCTATTTAAAAAAAAAAAAAAAAACTTTCTTTTTGATTTTCTGCTATTTTAGCCACAGTATTTCTATTTATTCTAAATATAAATAAAATTTGATCGGAGTAAAAGACGCTTTAGTGATACATTTTATTGTTAATTTATTTTATAGATAATTTTTGATAAACTTTTGTAATTGTTATTTTTTAATTTACCAATTATCATTTTTATATATGAAAAAATAAACTTGTTAAAATATACTTTTGAAGAATTTAATTATTATTCAGTATTTTCTGTATTACAAATTTTATGAATATTATTTTTTTTATAGTTTGATAAACAATATAGATATTTCGTTACGTAATTTTTATCACGTTTGAGAAAAAAGATTTGATTGGTTACCATTGGAAAATCGAGCACGGCGATTGGTTAAAAACGATCGGTATCTATCGACTTCTGTCATCCCACAATGCAATCTTCTGAGCATGCGAAGTAGACCGATCACAGCGACAAAGGAGGAGGTCGCCATTTTAAGAAGTTATACGTCGATTATAATCCACTTCAATCGTTTGAAAAATAATGTCTTATCGAAATAACGATTGCAGAATTTACGTCGGAAACTTACCACCCGATATACGTACTAAAGATATCGAAGACTTGTTTTATAAATTCGGTAAAATTACTTTTATCGATTTGAAAAATAGACGAGGCCCTCCCTTCGCTTTTGTAGAATTCGAAGACCCCAGGTAGGTTTAGTAATCAAAAAATGGTTAAATAAATATATAAAATGTAAACGTAATGCTTTTGTTTCCATTGAAATAGTTCATATTTATCTAATTTTTTATTAAGAAAACGTAAATTTATTATTATTAAATGTAATTTTTAAAACGATAATATTACGCAGTATTTAAAATTGATAGAATTTAGTTACTGTAAGTGACTTAACGAAGTTAAAATTGATTTTTTAGTTTATATATTAAGAAATGTCTTAAAATATAAACTATTTAATTTAATTAATTCATGTATTATGAAAGGTATAATATGTATTCACATCTTTTTCTTTTTAATTAACCAGGATGTAATTTTTAGGGTTTTTTTATATCTACATTGTATACGTAAAATTTGACCCAAAATGAATATCAAAAACGTGTTTACTGAATTTTCCAATTTAAAAAGTGTGTGCTGGGTATGGAGAGTGTGACCAATTTAATCATTCTGTAAGTTTAGAAATATTGCACCTGTAGTTCTAGCCATTAGTTAGACATGCACAAATACAAATAAAAGAATTTCAGTGAAACAACAAAATAAATGAGGAAAAAAGGTTTTGAGTGAGGCAGATGGGACCTTATCAGATCTGTAGATCCTACCCATAGGAGCAAAAAAGTCAAAGAAACCATATCTGTACAAGTGACTCTTTGCAAGAAAACAGCCTCTTAAAATCAGGTTGCACGAGATCACGAGTTACTCCACTCCACTAAGACTATTGTTTTCAGCTGTTTATGCCACATGACTATGCTGACTTTGAGTGGACTGCTTGATTGTTCATGGAGTGCGCAATGTTATATATATGACATCAAGTACTCTTGAGTTGAGTGCTCTATTGCTCGTGCCAAAGCATGACTACATGCAAAGTGTTGGTTGAGGCCTTGATGATGCAGAGCATGGAGAATAGGCAGTCGTGTTGCTACTTTTTGAAAATCGCTGACCCGGACAGTACGTTGGGTTTTTTCGAACAGAAGTTCCTGACGCATGTGCAATGTCATTTTACAATGAAAAGAATAACGTGCATGCTGGTTCTAAATCAGTTACAGTCAGAATCTAGGGAACAGATAACTTAGCACTGCTTTAGACGTGTACGATCGTACGAGCAAAAAAAAGTCAATGGGTTTTTTTACTCTTTCCGCCCTGTGGGCACTAAGAGGGCCTCTTTTTGCAAGCCCATTATGAGTATGGCCAGGCCCACAATGGGGCAACTGAGTGGCGAGGGACGGGGCCTGACATATCCAGATGGACCACCCCCAAAAAAATTCTAAGCATTATTCAATCCCGGGTCCCCCCAGAGCAGTAGGCTGCCACCTTGACTGCTTGGCCGTCTGAGTCAACAGGGGTTGCACTCCACACATTGGCAAAAGCAGACTAACATGGCAGAATTGCAGGTGAATTTCAGTGAGTGTGAGTTCTTTTGCTGTTAAAATAGTGTAAATTTTAAAAATATTTGCAAGAACTTTGTTTCATCCTAATTTCACAATTTGTACGAAATTCCCAGACAAAATTAATAGTTCTGGTTTTCACCCGGGGACAGCGAGTCAATTCCCGGGTGAAAACCAGACGGGTGGTAACACTAGTAGGCAGTATACTAATGTGTGTTAAAACTGACCTTTGGAGGCAAATATTTCAAAGGATTGCATGTACAGTACAGGTATGGTTCCTTTGACTTATTTGCTTGTATAGGGGATCTACAATTCTTTAGGGTGCAAACCCCTCGTTCATTCAAGCTATGAATGAGGGGTTTTGCACCCCTAACTGATAGCTTGAATCTTGTCAAAAAAAACTTTGCATGTGTGAGCTTTGGATTTGTGCTTTATTTTTGCAGAAAAATTACTGGTAGTTATTTTCATTCAGACCACAATGTGTTTTCTTTTATTTTAAAAAAAGAGACGTATTTAATAGATATTTCCAAAACATGCAGAATTTTTTTCCGGGAGACCCATAAATAAAGTTCTATAAACAAAAAAAAATCATACTGGTAGGACTACTAGCCAACTGTGCTCTGTTTAAGATGATGATGCTTAAGCTTGTCATCATGGAGTTGCATGTTGGTGGTGGACATTTAGAAAGTGCATTATATGATTTCTCTTTGGTGTCACTCAATTGCGTAACTACATTCACATGTTACTCTTCTTGAACAAGTGACATTTCTGATGTGCTTCTAGGCAACTTATTTTTTTTTTTCACAGAAGAGCTTGTTCTTTTGTGTTATTCTCTGCAGGAATCAAATGATAGGAGAGTGATGTCTTATTCCTAACATCTGCAGAGTTCAGTTTGATATATATTGCTTTTGTTGTGTTTCCATAACACCATAACATTCTACAACAAAATCCATTGAGTCAAGATTTGACAATTATTTATTTTTCAAGATTAATTCCAATAAAAACAAAACAAATAAAATAATAAATAATACTACTTATAAGCATTTAATCTGAATTTTTAACTAAATTTGTTATCTAAATGTATAAAGCATATATACAGTATTTGTAAAACTAATCTCTTATTTTAAAATATNGTCAAGATTTGACAATTACTTATTTTTCAAGATTAATTCCAATAAAAACAAAACAAATAAAATAATAAATAATACTACTAATAAGCATTTAATCTGAATTTTTAACTAAATTTGTTATCTAAATGTATAAAGCATATATACAGTATTTGTAAAACTAATCTCTTATTTTAAAATATAAAGTTATATACAATACTTATTATTATTACATAAGATGTGTGGCCAATATCATAGACTTCTTTTGGAAATAAAATGTTTTACTTAAAACAACAGATGCAACATGCATAGTTTTGTATAGTCTAAATAAATAAATTGGGTAAATGTTTTCATTATTTTAACTTTTCACTAACAATTGATCTATTCACTATTCATGAACAATTGAATCTGATACCCTTTGCATGTAACCGAACTTCCAAACAGAAGTGTCTGTATGGTGTAAGTTATACATCTTGTATAAGTATTATTGGGCTGCCATTTGAAAAAATTGTAGACCTATAAATTTCCACTGTTGTCCATCTGTCTGTCCTTCTTTAATCTCAAGAACAGAGTTAGATGAAAATCAAGACCGGAAATGGAAAGCTTAGTGTTAGGAGGCCCTCTTTAACTATGTAAGAACTTCCAGTTTTCACTGGAAATCACATTATTTCAATTTAGAAATTTTTCCTTGAAAGGAGTTAGGTAACAGGCACGGTTGTGTTGCTGACAGAACAAGTATGAGGTCTGTTCAAAAAATAATTGAACTTTTGGAATTGGGCAAAAACGGAATGTCCTAGTGTCGTGAAATTGACAACACTATGTTTGTGATTACCTACTGAGTAAACTGCTTTTTTCAGATTGTTGATATTTCATTTCGTTCCCATGTTGTTATTTTTTGAGGGGAAGGTGTTTCAGTGTTCATGGCGATTTTTGCAGTGCACAATTTACAGGAGGAACGATACAATGTAAAGTTTGCAGGAAAACTTTTAAGGAAACATTTCCATTATTGAATCAAGCTTATGGAGGCAATGCTCTACGTCCTATGCAGTATTATGAATGGTTTACCCGATTCAAAAATGGTCATCAGTTAGTTCACAATGACCCTCGACCAGGAAAGCCTTTGATTTCAATTGAAGACACTCACGTTCAGAAAACTATAGTTGTGTGCTTTGAATTTTTGCCTCGAGGTCAATTAATCAATCATCAGTATTTTGCAGGTGTTTTGAAACAATTGTGTGAAAAAATTCACAGGAGACCAGAGTTGTGGTGAGACAACTCATGGTTCCTTCATTATGACAATGCACCTGCTCACTCAGTCTTGTCAATTTGCCAGTTTTGTGTCAAAAATCAAATGACATGTTCTCCTCATCCTCCCTACTCATCAGGCCTGGCTCCTTGCAATTTTCTTCTTGTTTCTGAAATTAAAATCAGTGCTGAAAGGATGTTATTTTAACATAATTGATGACATTAAAACAAATTTGTCACGAGCATTGAAGGACAGTTCGAAACAAGCTTACCAGGACTGCTTTGCAAAGTGGATACATCTCTGGGATAAGTGTGTGAGTAGGGGAGTACTTTGAAGGGGTCAAGGACTAATAATCTGTAACTTGAAAAATAAAAATTAAAAATATAAAGTTCAGTTATTATTTTAATAGACCTTTTATGATGTACAGGGCAAGACACTAATACTGCATTTGCACACAATCCGTGACTCATATTGATCTCAATTTACCCACAATCTCAATTGTAACTGTCGCCAGTCAAACGTCGAGCTGTTTGCACAGGCAGTCCACTTGAGAAGAACCTGGCTATTGTGTGCGATGATAAAACTGACATAACTGCTTGATAAGTCATGAACATCAACCAAAAAAAATGGAAGTTTTGGTTTCAGATAAATACTTTTTCTTGCCCTATATCTAATAATAGCCAGATTTTACTGTCTCTCCAAATATCTGTTTTATTTCTCTGTTGATATCCAAACACTACTTCCACAGCCATCTTGTTTCTTCTCAAGTGCACGGGATTGTGGGAACTCTCTTATGATTGGATCTAGTTTCAAGAACACTTGTGTCGATTGTAATTGAACCTTGTTTCAGTCAAGAAGGCTTGCACCATGGCACAATTGCCAATCCTATCACAATCTAGATTGAAATGCTCAGTGTGAACAGGGTATAAAATATATGTTCTCCACCTCTAGTAGCCTAAATTAAATAAATTAAAAATAAGATTTAAAAAGCTTGGCTTTTGTGACTATGCCATAATGAAATAATTGCTCGTTGTTAAGTAACTTTGTTTTAAAATAAAGTGATTAGTTAGAAAACAAATTTCTATGTTCTATATAAATTTGTAATTATTTATTATTATAATCATTTAATCTTAATTTAAAGTAATTAGATTAATTATTATTGTATTTCTTGTATTTTATGTGGAGTTGATCCTGAAAAATAAATTGTCATTGACAAATTGAAACTTGATGGATTTTGTTATAGA